AATGTAAAGAACAAAGATCAGATTATCTCGCATGATGTGTTTTCTGCAAGACAGATTTACTTAAAATAGCAATATGCAAAAATTGAGACGTCGATATAGTGTTTTACATCATGATATTTTTTAACTCTCATGAAATATCCAATTGGAGTAAAAAAAAAAATCTTACTTATCTTTATTGCTTATCCTAATCTTATTGGAAAGTTTCCCTTTCTTTCATTAATTGTATCTGTTGACTGTTCCTGGCTTATTTCAAGGCCATTAATTTTTTTGGTTTATAATGAAGACATATTTGGCAGGCATATTTATTCACAAGTAAATAATATATCTTTCTTTCAAATTTAAACAATATCTGCTGGCAAATGTATTCTAAGAAATTCTGTTCCCTTGTCAGTTTTCCTTACTTTTAAGGCTCTATTGCCTGAACATAACCTGTGTTATTTCTCCAAAACAGAAAGTCAGGCTATGGGAGTGACTCAGTTTTTTGTTTGTTTGTTTGTTTTGTTTTTGTTTGTTTGATTGTTTTAGTGCCTCTCCCCCAGTCAGGAAACTGTATAACCTAGGACAGCTTTTCTTCCCATTTTTACAAATGTTGAAAGACCTTTTTTCTCTGGAAGATCACTGTTTTCTATTAAATATATTAGAACTTGACTTTGAAGTACATCTATTTGTTACACAAAGAGAATGTGAGTCAATCCTGCCGTGAAATAAATAAAGGTTATTGGAGACTCAATCTAGAAGAAGCATATTTCTACTTTACTCTTTTGACTTTCCTGCAAGTGTGTGTGTTGTTTTTCAGAAAAAGAACAACATTCTAGTTGTGAAATTGGAAAGAGAGGACAACAAACAAATTAAGGTATAATGTAACACAGGCTACTAAGGACTACGAATGTAAAAGACGCAGAATGCAGGAATCATAGAGATACACTCTCTGTTAGGGTGATGTTTGCTAGACACCAAGAAAAAAAGGGGGTGAAAAAGAAGTAATACAGCTAAGGCAGGAGCATTCTAGGGGTAGAGCATAGAGCACCCATGCCGTGTGTCTCCACAGACAGCGAGGGTCAGTGTTTCTAGAACTAAATCAGAAAGGAAAAGATAGATGATTAGTGTTACAGCTCTTGTAGTCTTGAAGGCCATGCTAAAACTAAAACTTGGCCTTTAATTCAAGGCAGATGAAAACTATGTTGAGTTCCAAGTGGAAGAGTAACAAGAACTGGTGTTCATCGCACTGTGAAGAAGGAAAGAAAGGATAGGCTTCCAATGTGTGAGGCAAGAAAATGTATAAACCACAGTGATGGCAGTAGTTTTTGATTGTGCAATGTGACAGGAATAGACAATCAAGGATGCTCCTAAATGCTAGTCTGAACTACCAAGATTCGGGCTCACCACTGACTGAATTGACAGAACATGAAAGGGGTAAGTTTAGGAGAAAAAATTAGGCATTTTGTTTTGAAAATATAGGGATCAATTTTGTCTTTAAATACATAATAGGGATGTTGATTAGGCAGTTTGACCCCTCCTCTGGAGATCCAAAAAGCAGTCAAGATAGGAAATAGACATCTGGGTGGTGCCATCATAGAAACACAATATAAAACCCCAAAGTTGGATCAATTCACTTGGGATTTCCATATTAATAAGAGAAATGAAGACAGAATTCTGATGCCACTGCTGTTATGGACGTTCATAGGGTGAACAAGAATCAAATCAGAGATGGAGAAAGAGATTAAACCAGGAGATCATAGGTCTAAGAAGCTAACTTACATGTGGACAGTGCCAGATTCTTAATTGATGATAGGTATAGCAGGGTGATAACCAAGGATTAGATATCAGATTTGACAACTGAGCAGCTACAAGATCTTAGCTGAGCAGAACCACAACGTAATGAATAAAGTCTTCCTACAGGGGCTCAATATGATGAGATGAAACATTGGAGAAAGAAAGCATGGCAACTCTTCCAACATTTTTGAAATCATATCAGCTACTTGTTTTCCATGTAAAGGCAATTATAGATGACTTTTAAATAGACCTCAAAATGTCTCTGTTGCCTGAAGATGAACTTAATATGGGCCCATTTTACGGAAGTGACATAGAAGACTGGACTTCTCCCAAATGAAGCCTTGTTTCCCTTAGTTAGCTTTTTCTTCCAGATTAGCTAAACTTTAGGAGCTAATGAGATGACTTGATTAACATGCTTGCATGGCAGGAGTTTAGAGCCCCAGAAATCCACAGGCAAATGTCCAGTTGGTATGTTGACCTGCTTATAACTCCAGTCTCAGAAGATGGAGACAGAGTCCCCAGAAACAAGCTGGCTAGCAAGACTAGCAATGCCAGTAAATTCTTTGTTTGACTGAAAGACTCTGCTTCAATGAGTAAGGTAAAGGAGCTATTTAGGATGGTTCTGACATCAATATCTGACTTTCACATGCATGTACACCCATTCCATGTGCATTTATACCCACACATGTGTGCCCCCACACATGCAAAAACATGGCTGTGAATCTGTGCATGTGAGTGCATGTATACACACAAAAAAACCTGGGGGAGGGAATAGTGAGGGATTACTTGATATGATTAAATCTGTTTGAGGTAAAGTCTTGCTGCTGTTACAAAGCAATGCTGTTTCTGTTGGTTGATTGTAATGGAAAAGAATAAGCACTTGATAGCCTAATAAACAGGAGATTAAATCTTATTGCAATAATAGTTACCACTTGTTAAAGAAATTCTGAGTTTTGAAATGTGCCATTTTTCTATTGCTATGTAATTGGGTAACATAAATTATCTTTAATCTTTTAAAATTAGCAAATGTAGAAATAAAGTATTGCTACAATAATTATTCAAATATTAACTAATTTTTATATTTAATGGGAAGCCATTACTAAGCAGCTTTTGTGTTGGTATTGATGACTTTTTCTCCAAACCCCATTAGTTTCTGAGAGGGACAGTTAAAAGAAACTGGAGTAATGTTTCCTACATAAGAAATCTCTGCATATCATTAATAACATGCTCCACCTACTGTACTCAGCCACCCCCAGCTCCTTCTGCTCACATTACTAAAAGTCTAATGCATTTGTATAAATTGTACTTAAAAATCAAAGTAATGTGTTTCTTGTGTAGCTTGCAGACTTTATAGTATGGCTTTATTGCCCTCACCATTTTGTTGGTAGAAACTACTGGGCATGGGGAAAAGATTCCTTTTGTAACTGATACCTAAATTTCTATCCTGCTTTAAGCATTCAATTTGCACAGTGGAGACCTGTAATTTAAGACTTGTAGCTGTATCACAAAGTACAGCTGTTTATACTGATCTCTAATTTGCTGAGTGGTACTGGCTGTAATTTAAATTTTTTTTCATGTTTTTAACTACCATGCAAGTCAGTATACATCAGAAGCCTTTGTATATTGACAGAGACTGTGGAAAGGATGCCTTGTTTTGATTTCAGATAAGCATTCACTTTTTGAGTCAACAGGTGCAACAGCCCATTTGTAGTGTTTGCTTCAAATTAATAATAGTCACTGGATGGAAATATCTTGCCATTACACAGGAACCTGATTTATCTTTTGAAGCACAATAAAAATTTAAAACATCTATTATTAGCTAATGTTAAAGGTGAGACTTTCTTTGGAACAAAATATGTTCTGTTGGCATGAGTTTTGACCATTTACTAGTGTGGATGTTTACTAAATCTATTTAAAAACACTTTACTGCTTACTGACATTGGATGGAATTATGCTAGTGGAAATTCTGCTGTGGTAATCACACGTTCCATTCAAAAGACACTTGATAATGAATGTGATTCTTTCCTTTACATTAGGTTTCACTTATTCTAAAATCAGTAAGTCTCAAAATAACAAGATAAAAATTGACTCGAATTTGTCCTGTTTCAGATAACTAGGAAAATCTTACCACAAAACAAGTTTTAGCCAACTATATATGCAACATTTAAGAGAATTAATCTGGATTTTTCTACCATAAACTTTTACATATAAGCTTTAGCTTTAGTTAACTTCAGGCACCAATTCAAAGTTCAGAAGTAAAATTTAGTTTTACAACAGAAGTATGGCTAGTAATTAAAACTCCTTTCAAGTTGAGAGTCCATAGTAGTCTCTAGTCACATTTAAAGGAGAGAAAAGTGGAAAAAAATTAAGTATGATAATGATGACTCCATTTTCAAAAATAAATATTTGACCTCTATGGTAAATTTGCTCTTTAGACTATTAATTGTTATTGTTGATTATTTTGTTTCATGGGTCACTAAGAATACAATGCTACCATGCTAAAGTCCCAAACTCCTTCTCATGCAGCATTTGACTAGAACTGTCCTTTGTGGCTTAGGAAAGGCAGTTATCTTTATCTCTTTCACAGATGAGGACAATAAAGTTTATAGAGAGGTGACCTCTCTGTATCAGAGACTGAACTTAGGGAGGGATCAGATAGCCACAAAAGTTTATCAACAGTCTTCTCCTCTACCCCACCCCCTCCAGTGGCTTAAAGCATGGATACTTCTCAAGGGCATTTAATTCATTCAGGCAGAATGTTATTGTGGAAGAAACTTGTATGTTGTTGTTCTTTCATAGACCAGTACATGGAAGACTTTGTCCCATTATTACTCGTTTTAGCCACAGCCTTCATCCAAATATTGTCAATGAATGGTGCCCCCTGCCCCTCATAAAAAAATGGGGAACACAGTTTATACAGACAGCGACATCGTTGGTAAATACTGGAACCCCAAAAATTGGTTCTATAAGTACAACAGTCTCTTTCCCAAACTTAAGAACTACTTTTTCCAGTACCATGAACTATTTATTGCTGTCACTCCAGGACAGAAATGCTTGACACTTGGCTTCTCTATAGAGGACTTTGCCACACACTGGCCCTCCTCAAGTCTCAGGAGTGACCAGGACTGACATCTGCCACTTACCTGTTAGGGATGCCCAGGCCAGAAGCTCTCAATGCCAGCCCAAGACTTTAGGAATAGGAAAGAATACAAAGCAAAATAACTTACCACTTTGGCCCAGTCCGAAAACAAGTGAAAACAGCCAGGCCGCCCGGAGAACCAAGGCAGGACCTCGCTGGCAGCTGTGCAGACAGAGCAGTGCAGCAGTCAGAAAAGCCAGGGCCAAGCCGCACATAATGCAAAGCAGCCCGCCCCGCGCCCGCTGCCTGGCCGCTTTCCTGACGTGCGCTCGCGACTTGGGGGCGCACCTTGGGGCCCGCGGGCTGAGAATCTCTAGGACCTTTTCCACAGGCCGGTCTGACCCACCCAGGGGCTCCGAGTAGACGATACAGGTACGCGGGCCTGAACAGCTCTGTGCATCTCAGGGCCCCTGCGGCCCTCCCAGCTCCGCACAGCCGGCTCGGCGTTCTCAACCAAATGCACCTCCTCGGACAAGCCGATGGCCCGAGGCAGCGAAGCGAGTAAGAGCTCCACAGTCCGCTCAGGACAAAGAAAAGAGCTTTTGTTTCTCTCCAGCGGATGGGGCTCTGCTGCATAAATCAGCTTAGCGAAGAGCCAAACACAATCAAACCCAAACAAAGCCCGAGGCTGGGGGGAAAACCACCCTAATGTAATTCACAGGGTGATGCTGCATTAGTGGGAGGGGACGGCTAGAAGGCCAAGGGGGTGGGAGGGAGGGGAGTCGCTGGCGCATCAGTCGGTGCGAGCTTCTTCCACAGGTGGGCTGGGAGGCCAACTCCACACAGTCTCAGCAAGCCAAGGGCGTCAGCGTCCCGATTGGCGGGAGAGGAGGCTCGGGTGCCAGCAGCTGGGGGAATGGCTCGGCGGGCGTCTTGGAAGCCCTGGTCTGCGCCCGCAGGCACCTAACAAGGCATCGCTGCTGCCTACCGGGCTGGGAGGGGACGTTCCACTCGCCTTGTCGGGAGAGAGTTGCGTACCCTTGTCCTTTCGGACTCAGTCGGCTCAGGAGTCTGGCCGCCCAGCACCCTGGCAGCTGATGCTCTCTGGGCTGTACCAGGAGAGTATGAGAGGAAGGCCAGGCAGGCGATGGTCAGGGATGGGGTGCTCTAGGTCTCTGGATCCCCACGGGGGGGGGGCAGCCTTGGGAGGCTGGGTGTGCTCGGAGCTGAGAGTTGCTAGGAAACCACCCCACGCTACAGTGCTCCTTGCTCTGGTAGCCAGCAAGCACCGCAGCGGCCCAGGGCAGGAGCAGCAGCAGAAGCAGCAACAGCTCCAGCTCCGAGTAGCGTGGGCGGGACATTGGTGAGGCATGAAGTCACTGCGGCCCACACTCGCTCTTTGTTTTGCTCACTCCAGCTCTTTTTCTCCCCCTCGAATCTGATAACTGCCATTCCCATCGTTCTCAAGAATTCCTGGTGTGTAGAGGCGCGACAGGAATAGCTCTCTGAGTTCTCTTTTCCCTCATTTCCCCAGAATCCTGAATCCCATTGCTCCTGTAACCGGTGCAGTGGGGGACTTTGCTTAGCCTGAGCAGCAGCTGTGAACCCCAACATTTCATCCTTGCACTGCATGCTTCTTTGTTCAGCTTGCAGCTGCTGCATATAAAGTGTAGTTCAGGGTCCTCTCCCCACACTCAATATGCTGCTCTTGGAGTGTGTGCACTGCCCACTTTCCCTGAAGCCTTAAGAGCCCTGTGTCTGATCTCAAATCTGCCAGGGGTCTCCCCAGCCCTTGGAGTTAGACAAGACCTATTCTAGTAGCAGAGATGTTTCACTGTTCCTTTTTGTGGACCTCAGCCCTGAGAGGGGCAGCTTAGCCTTTTTCCCAGGGTCCCTTGGCTATTTGGCCTTTTGGTTATGGTGGATTTTTTGACCTATTGCCTTCCTGGTTAAGGGAATCAAGAAGTTGTAGATAGGAGCAGTGAAGTGAGAGAGAAGCTAAGAGAGGTGATGGATGGGAGGCCCTTTGTGCAGGCTTGCAGTTCAGACTTTTGTGTGAGGCTAGAGCACTGCTAAACTTCACAGACAATGAAACAGAGCTGCCTCCTCAGGTCCTGGCAGCTACCTTAATCAGAAGGAAAGGAACCCAGATCTCTGGTTTCGAAAGAGCACATTTTACAGTATGATACTGGGCGATGGAAGCTCTCAATTTCCCCTAGGGCAGAAGTTATTTCAGCATTTTGAAGTTTGATTTTTTTTTTCCTGGCTTACAGAGCACTGCTTACACTTCTTCTTACAGGTATCAGACCAGTCCAGCCAGGTCAAGGTGAACTGTAGGGGGGTTTCCCTCCTTATTTAATTGTTTCCTTCTTATTTGGAGTAAAGAAAACAAGTAGGAGGCTCCCCCTTCTTAAAAATTTCTTCTTTCTGTTTTCTAATTGTTAACAGTGAATGGAAAGTACCTGGTTAATAAACCACAGCATTGAAAACTCCCCTTTCTCCAGGTGTGGACTGCATGTTGGGCTGGCAATAAAGCCAGGAACCTAGATAGAAAAGTGCCCTAGATCTGTTAAGGAGATCCCTTGGAGAAGCTAAAGGGGCAGTCTAAACCTTAAAGACTGCTGTCAGTCAACACAACTCTAAGCCACTGTTCTCTTAGCAAATAAGACACACCCCAGCCTCATTTCATTTTTCAAGTTCTCATTATTTGATTTTTTCAAATTTCCTCATAGTGGAAATGTCCATGAAGGACCTGTGAAGTGGCTGAAGTAGGGCAGAACACAAAGCCAGAATAGTCAAGATATGGTTAGAGACTACTCAGCTGGGAAGTGTGTTTATTTTCTTGAGATTATGTGACAAACCTAGGCAATGCAGCAACCCTTGAGGCAGTACAACATTCCAATGAAGAAAATGAGTTAATCTCAATTGTGTGTGTCCAGTCTGCATTGTAATGCTACTGATAGATTAATATTTTAGTCCCATGGTTTTCACATCTAACTGGTAATACTGAATCAGAAAAGGCAGTTACAGTATAAATGAGTCAGAAGCTCACATAGTAAGAATGGATGTAACACTGTGAAAGTGCTGAGGTATGTAATTTTATATTGTTAGGTGTTGATATACTTTATATATGAATCCAAACCAACTGTGTAGAAAGATGGAAAAAACAAAAAAAGGAAACAAATCTGTTTTGGGAAAGTTTGAAAGTCATTCAAAAGAAAGCCATTTCTGGCCATGAAGTCAATGGAAATGAATGCCAGGGTTTGAGGTAGAATGCGCAGTTGGTAATGTCCATATTGCATAACATGAGGTCCTTAGTTTGAATCCCCAGAACATACCTAAAAAGCCTGGCATGGAGCCCTTCCCTCCAGTCTCAGGAGGAAGGGGTCAGACAGATCACTGTTGGCCAGCCATTCTAGCGGAATCTAAGAGCGCCAGGTTCAATGAGACCTTGTTTTAAAAAATAAAAGATGGTGAGAAACTGAGAAAGCACCCAATGTCAACCCCCATCCACTGTTAACAAGAATGCACAAATATATGCATATATATATATATATATATATATATATATATATATATATATGCCAAGGTACATGCACCCACACTAACAAGTTATCTCAACTGTTTCTTGTTGATGTGATATAAATCCTCTCACAAAACAACCTAAGAAAGAGCTTGGTAAGCTCTCAATTCCAGGGGACAGTCCTTTATTTCACAAGGAGTCAAGGTGGCAGACTTGAAACAATGAATCATCCAGGACAGGCTTATATACTGATAACATGCTCTTTTAATTCAGTTCAGGGCTAGTACATGATACGGTGCTGCCTACGTCCAGGTTGAGTCCAGAGAATCCAACTAAGAAAATTCCTCATAGGCACAGCCATAGACATACCTAAAACAAACAATTCCTCATTGTGACTCCCTTCTCATGTGACTCCAGATTGTGTCAAGTTGACAAAACTAACCACACAAGTACATACATTACACAGGTACCACCCATACATACACCCAAAATTCCCTAATGCCAATTTTTATAAAGTTATTGAATTAGCGCAGTATTGCTTGTCACTACTTCCTAGCTGGGAGGAGGCTATAACGCTGGTTATCAAAATAAAATAAGATGGTAGACATTAGACTGTGAGTCTACAGGTTATTTATGAGGAAGTTATCTGAACATTTTTGGCTTTGAAGATATAATTAACTACTTCTGAAATTCTGCAGCTCATCCTTGGGTTTTCTTACAATAAATTTAACAAGTAACATAGGAACAATGTTTACTTGTATTCAATAAATGTCACTGGCCATACAACTTATAATTTCTCTTGTAAAAGAAATGGACATGATACTGTAAAGAAATTCAGTATTATCTCCATTCTGTTACCTGAAGAGTTTTAACACAGAAAAAGGTTCAAAATGATGACTAATTTCTGTTTTCTATCATGTTCCTCAGTCTTGCTTTGAAATTTCTGACAGCTAATTTTTCATCATTTGTGGTAATGAGAGCAAATGAAATTCACAGATAGTCTAAAATAACATTCTAACTATTCATTCCAGCCTTTGAATCATTAGTTAATAAGTCATAAAATTAGATGACTTAAGCTTCTACCCTACTCCTTTAACCTTAGTTTCTTGGCAGTGTGGTTTATGGAGAGAATGAATAATCTATGTGGGTAGTAGTAGGAGTGACAGACACATCTGAGAGACTTTTATTCAGTATGTAAACGTGATACTGATTTTCCCGAGATGATTGACTTTGTACTTTCATCTAAAGCCATATTAACACTTCAATATTATGTCTTTTGAAGTTGAGGCTAAAACTACCTGGTAGCTTTTCATTGTGTGGTCACAAATTGTCTCTAAGCTATTCTCATCTATGGCTCAGAAGAGATGAAAAGTGATCTGAAAATTAGACTATTGTGTGCTTCTGATGAAGCACACAAACCAATGTAAAGCATTCCTCTCTAGACTGTTTTGTAGACTGCAGACTACCCACCACATAATATCACAGAGTGTTTAAGAACTCTGATTATTCATCTGTTCTAGAAGGTTTTGAATTAGTAGGTTTTATATACAGCCCAGAAACTGTCCAGGTATGCTCTTAGAGTAGTTTTTATATACTCATGACTATTGAAGCCCCTTGATAATGTCTAAATAGGGAGTTCTCAAAATCTTCGATTCTTAGAAACAAAATCTGTAAGATGCAGTTTTAAAAATGAATGAATGTGTAGAGTAGAACCAGTGTCTCTTACAGAGATAGATAATGGTTGACTAAAGCCATGATCAGTTAATGTTTTCCGAAACAGGATTCTATGATAAAACCTGGAAAACTTTGAGTTAAAAGTTAAACCCTTCCTAGAGAAATTCCTAAAAACTTGAGTGGTCCAACATGCTTTTGGTTTTGAAAACTATTCTGGGACCATCATTCAATACGCACTGCTCACTTCCCCTTGTACATGTGTAGAAACTGAGACCCAAGAAGGCAAAGAGAATAGCTTCATTTATTTTAGAGAATTCTTAGACATGCATGAATCAGAACTCTAATATTATTGAACAACTGTAAATCAGTGAAAACTTTTGGTTTCAAGTAATAGACTCATATTGTGAATGTTATAAGTTATTATTGTTTAATGAGAGGAAGGTGGGAGTTCACAGACTTAGTATCAGGCTGGGAGATCAGGATTGAATGAGGCCATGAAACAAAGGAGACATTTGCTTAGTATCTTAATTGGAGCTCACTTACAGTTCAGAGGATTAATTCA